CCCCCCCTTAACAGGACTTGAGAAGAGGAACGACCCGCAAAATAGGTGCCTTTGAGCCAACTTCTGGAGAAAATAGGATTAGGTTTATGACTAGAGTTAAGTTCACGGTTAAGTATAGGGTTAGGTTTAGTCTTAAAGTAGGTTAGGGTTAACTTTAAGGGTTGTTTTAACTGCAGAGCTAGGGTAGGGTTAGTGTTATGATTGGGTCTACGATTTAGGTTTATGGAAGAGCTAGTCTGAGAGTTAGGACGCGGGAATATTTAAACTTTCTGAACTTACGCGCAGGGCCAGCATCTTTACTTGGTCCAGCGTTCTTATTCCCATGCCCTAATTGTGGTGGCCTAATTAGCAGGTGGTATAATGTCGAGTTAATTCGTAGACATTAGCTTGTCGGCTTCTGGCTGAAAAGGCTTTCGGCCAGTTGTATAAATGAAATTGGAAGGAAAACATAGTTACTTAAGCAGTGTGCATGCTTCTCATTGATTTCCGATCAGCGCATATGGATAGGACAAACACACAAAGGACTCGTTTCTTGTACTTACGCCGTCTTCAACGTTGGTGCCCGAGGAAAGGATACTTTCTAGTCTGCATAAATGTTGTTATCATGATAATTGTGTGATGATTACATGATTATTCATGCAATGTGATATCCTCCGGTTTAGTAATGCTACTCATAAACTTGTGGACGGGCTTCATATCCAGTGCAGGATTCTATAGATAACTGGGCAAGGAAGGTTATGAATACACTTTTTTAATGCATAGCCTATTTTTCGGAAAGCTTAGACATAAGTAAAGACGCAAGTTGCATTTCAATATAAACTAGTATTAACATTGTACTTGCTTCCTCAAGTACTGACCGTAAATAATGTGTCATTTTCTATAAAATACATACAAGATATGAGTCTTTACGTACAGTGAACAGAATACGACCCAATTTATGCGCACCCCGAAACTTTATGGGAAAAATCTGCACGATTTCTGAAGTATTTTTTTTCAGAGCGTGGACGAATGGGTTTAGGATTCCATTTTTCTCTGAACCATTTTGCCGTTTCATCCAGGCGATATTTCCCATTGAAAAGCATACAGAAATTATTCGTAAACGTCTCACAAACTTGCGCACACACTTTACGTACTGGACACCCTCGCGTAGCCCCTAGAGTTCCAATGCCTGCAGCTGTAGCGGTCGAAGATGTTGAGGTTGGCACATCTACGAAGGACTAGTTCACATGTATAGTTGTCCAGTGATGTAACATCGGAAAGATTTGTTAAACACGGCAACAGGCACGGATATGGAGACGTAGAAGAATAATGAGCTCATAACATATAAGATCTGATAATATAAATAACTGATAAATAATAAAAAGCGGAAGGATGACGATATAAGAAATTACCAAGGTACTGTACAAACGATCCGTTTGGAGTGAAGAGTGGCCACGG